AGCACGTTCTTCACGTCCTATCATGTCCTTACTGGCCCAAGGGCTACCGCATGGGCAATCTCCTGTTTAATTTGTTCAAAGGCTTGTTGTTGTTCAGGGCCCCACTGGAAATCATTTTTCTTCCGTGTCACAAGGTAGAGAGGGCTTACAATCTGACTGTACTCGGGGATATGCATCCTCCAAAAGCCCACAGCGCCTAGGAAAACCTGTGTTTCCTTCTTGCTGGTTGGTGGGGACATGGCTGCTATTTTGTTAATCACCTCCATTGGAATTAGGCGGCGTCCATCTTTCCACTTCACTCCTAGGAACTGAATTTCCTGAGCAGGTCCCTTGACCTTACTCCGTTTAATGGCAAAACCAGCTCTTAGGAGAACCTGGATTATCTTCTCTCCTTTCTCGAAGACTTCCCCCGCTGTGTTTCCCCAAACAATGATGTCATCAATGTACTGTAGATGTTCTGGAGTCTCGCCCTTTTCCAGTGCAGTCTGGATCAGTCCATGGCAAATGCTGGGACTGTGTTTCCACCCCTGAGGCAGTCGGTTCCAGGTGTACTGCACACCTCTCCAAGTGAAAGCAAATTGTGGCCTGCACTCCGCTGCCAAAGGAATGGAGAAAAAGGCATTTGCAATGTCAATGGTGGCGTACCACTTGGCTACCTTGGACTCCAGCTGGTACTGGAGCTCCAGCATGTCCGGCACAGCAACACTCAGTGGTGGTGTGACTTCATTGAGTCCACGGTAATCCACCGTCAGCCTCCACTCTCCACTGGACTTACGCACTGACCATATAGGACTATTAAAGGGTGAGTGAGTCTTGCTGACCACCCCCTGGGTCTCCAGGTCACGGATCATCTTATGTATAGGGGTCACAGAGTCTCGGTCAGTGCGGTATTGCCGACGGTGCACTGTTGCTGTGGCTATTGGTGCCAATTGTTCTTCAACCTTCAGCAGTCCCACAGCAGAGGGGTCCTCTGAGAGACCAGGCAAGGTGTTCAACTGTCTAATTTCCTCTGTCTCCACAGTTGCTATGCCAAAAACCCAACGAAGTCCTTTTGGGTCTTTGAAATACCCACTCCTCAGGTAATCTATGCCAAGGATCCATGGGGCCTCTGGGCCAGTCACGATGGGGTGTCTGTGCCATTCCTTCCCAGTCAGGTTCACTTCAGCTTCCAATACAGTCAGCTGTTGGGATCCCCCTGTTACCCCAGAAATGGAGATGGATTCTGCCCCTACGTATCTTGATGGCATTAAAGTACATTGTGCGCCAGTGTCCACTAAGGCCTTATATCTTTGTGGCTCTGATGTGCCAGACCACCGAATCCACACTGTCCAATAGACTCGATTGTCCCTCTCCTCTACCTGGCTAGAGGCAGGGCACCCCTAGTCCTGGTCATGGTACTCATTGTGCTCTTCTTGTGAGTATGACCTGGAGGTCCCTTCAAGAGGATCAGACGTATCATCATTCCTGTACCGTCTGGAGTCTTGCCCACGAGAGACTGGAGCAGCATTTACCCTTGAAGAGTTCCTTGTGGTACTTGTTCCTCTTTTCAGTTCACGTACCCGGACTGCTAAGGAAGAGGTGGGTTTCCCATCCCACTTCCTCATATCTTCTCTGTGCTCATGGAGGAAAACCATAGATTGCCAGGTGGAGTGTACCCTCTCTCCTTAGCTGGGGGACGCTGGCTCCTAATAGCAGAGACTCTTGTTTGTCCTGGCGCGATATGGAAGATCCCTTCCTTAATTTCTTCTCTTAGCTTCTGGTGTTCCTCTTCAACCTTCTCTTCCAGGCTTCGGACATGTTCAGTCAGTTTGGTTTCCACAGATGAGACGTGGACTCGTAATGGGGCGGTGACAGTGTCTTCATAAATCCTGAGTTTACTAACCAATGCACCCACCTTGTCCTCTCCCTCCCTCCATTGCAGCGTTGCTAAGTAGCGGGAATACATTTCTGGCCCGAGTCGTGCAAACTTCAACCACATCTGGGATGTGCACTGTACACCATCTGGACTTTTAGGGAATCTTTCATCCTCTGAAAAGATTATCTCCAGTACAACTAATTCTCTTAAGCACCGGATACCTTGTTCCATCGTGTTCCACTGTCCTTGCTGTACGTGGAGGTCCTCCTTACAAAGGTATCTCTCCCTCACACTGGACAACAGTCGCCGCCAGAGGCTGAGAGTTTCCTGCCTCCTTCCAATCCCCTGATCAATGACTACATCTCGAGACAGGGATCCCAGTTGTCTGGTTTCACTCCCATCTAGAATTGTATCATTAGCTGCGACATCCCAGATTCGGAGCAACCAGGTCAGAATGGACTCATTCGCCTGTCGTGTGAACTCTCTCCGGAGCTCACGTAGCTCACCCAGGGATAGGGACGGAGTGATTATTTCTGGCTCTGTCTCCTCCGGTGGATGTGAAGGTCCTGCCTCTTCGTCATCATTTGCTGTACGGAATGATTTAGTCTTTGATTTCCTTTTCTGGACAGGGGCGACTGCTATTGGTTTTGGTTGTTCTTCTGGCTCCTTGATGGTTTGTGTGGACACGGTGCTGGTTGGTTTATTTCTTTCTCCCTCTGACTCAGCTGTGGTTTGGGTGGACGTGGTGCCTGTGGATTTGCTCCTTCTCTCCTCCCCCTGACAGTGCTGTACCATGTCAAGTAGTGTCCGGTAGGCAGTGGCCAGGGCCCAGCAGGTTGCTGTGAGCTGACCATCTCTGGAGCTGCCAGAGCATTTTCCCTTCACCAGTCTTATCATGCTAACAGGATCCTGCAGTTATTCAGGGGTGAATTTGGAGAAAACTTCTACAAATACTGACCGATGTCCTCCCACTTCCCGTGCCACTCAGCATTATCCACTCCCAGGGCAGGCGTCCAAACAACCTCCCTAGAAGGCCCTGTTCTGACCCTAAACATGGTGTAGACAGTACAGAGCAGACAAAGCAACACTAACAATAGCATTATGCTATCCTTTACATCAAAAGGGAACTCAATATTTTCAAAAACTGTTGTAGCAGGTCTGAAGGGGAAGAAAGAGGTTAGAGACTGGAAACAACCATTCCCCCCGTTCCCCCAAAGGGCTGGGTGCGATTTTTAATGAGGCCCCAGAGGTAGCAACCCAAACCAGGACAGACAAACAGGACTGAATACACATTTACAATGAAACTCATTGCTTCTGATGTTATGATGACATAAATATAGTATACTAATAAAGCAATTTGAATCCCTCTCCCTGGTTTTAAAGAGAGCATCAAAACAGGCAAATAGTTCCCCATCTGTGGAAATATGAACATGCTCAGATACAACATCCATGTGAATGCATCAAACAACATGGTGATCAGGGAGTTTCTGTATCCAAACATATAAATGCTTAAAATGAAATTGTGATTCTGACTTCTCTCTCTCTCTCTCTCTCTCTCTCTCTGTCCCACGTTGGGCGCCAAAAAATGTGCTGGTTTAAAAGTTTACCAGCAGGGGAAACCAACCCAACTCAAAAGAGAGATTACAAATCAGAATCACAATTTAATAAAATAATACAATAAGTACGACCACACGGACAAGCAACCGACCCTAACCCACAAAGCCCAAATGTACAACCCAGTACCCCAGGGCACAAACAAACGGTACTCACTGGACCTCCCCCTGAGTCCAAAGCAAAGGGAGAGGGGAAAAACCTGCTGGTGGGAGAGCTGCTGCAGTCTGGTCAAAGTGGTGATTGCGGTTCAGTTGAGGGTGGTGGTCTCAGTCCGGCTGAGAGCGGTGAGCTGCAGTCTGGTTGAGAGCAGTGAACTGCAGTCCTCCTCTGGATCCCACGAGTGGTGGCAAAAGGTTCTGAAACTCCAGGTTTATATATTCTCCAACTCAGGCAGGAATGCTTAGTCCCTCCCTCAGAGCGGGGAATTCCATAAAAGGATGTTCAATCCTTCCCTCAGAGTGGGGAATTCCATAAAAGGGCGTGAGGGTGCTCAGTCAGGGAATTCCACAAAAGGGCATGAGGACAGGAGCATGGGGGGGGGCCACCTCACAGGCCTCTACTGACAACAGTTTCTGGGAAATGGCATGGAGGGCTATAGAATACACAGTTTTGGGCTACACCCATCCAATGATGAATCGGTCCCAGCTGTTCTAACTAGGGCACAAGGATATATAGGAGAGTGAATGAAGCTTTTTTGATTATCAGCCCTTCAGCTTTAGTGAGACTTACTCTATGGTGTTTCATTAAGGACTTCTATTGTGAAAAATATAGGCAAATTTATATAGAAGACAAAGGAAACAAAATTTTTGCTTCAGTTGTTTGTGTGAGGATGTTACAGTACAAAACACATGTAGAAGTGTAAGATTACAGAAAATCGGAGACAAAGTTTAGTGTTTCTTTGAGATAGCATCAGTTAGCACAGTATATACACACACTGTGTTTTGACATAGTGTTTCTGACAATATCTGTCAGTTTCCTTATACATTTATCTTGCTATTTGCTCCAAAAAAACTAGACCTTATGATCATCGTAGCATTGTGCTGTTTGGCCATGCTGATAGTGCAGAGGCAAGGGTTTCTATTCTGTATTTCTCAGTAGTTGTCTACAAAATTCAAACCCATTTATGCATGCAGACTCTTTGAAGGTTGCAATGCAGCTGCACACAGCTCTCTGTGACGGGAACACCACATTGGTTGGACAATCTTTTGAATTTCTTTTTAGAAGTAAGGCTCTTGGTGTGGTACTTGAAGCAAAGGCTGCAGTTCTTATTCTCCAGAGAGGAATATTCTCAACATATTATGGACAAACATGTAATTATTGATATGTTTTACAGATGTGGAACGTTTTGGAGATTTTGGGGAGTTTTTTCTTCAAAGACTGTCTGAAAAAAGTTTAGTAACAGTTACGGTAATGGTTGTGGATTTTTATCTTTCTGTATATGAGATATAGATGGAAACAGATTTGATCATATGATGAAGAACTTTATGGCAGCTAAAACTGCTTTCTGACTTCCCTATTCTTTATTTTCTAGGCGGCAAACAGTAACAAGCACTCCTTGCTGGATTGAACTTCATCTGAATGGACCTCTACAATGGTTGGACAAAGTATTAACTCAGATGGGCTCCCCTTCAGTACGCTGTTCCAGCATGTCGTAAAACTCCTTCCTCTGTTACCAGTGGGCTAAACATCGAGTCCAATCAACAAACTTAATATAACAGTTCATCTGTCATAGTACTTGTGTGTGGTCCCCATGAACTGTTCACCATCCAAAAATGTTTTGTAAAAAGAAAAAAAAAGAAAAACAGCACTTGAGGTCTCATCAATTAAAGCACCTTGTGGATTCTGTTTCCTGTACTCTGATACTAGATGAAAATTTAGTGTATAGAAATGCCTTCTTCAGAAAGAAGATGGAACTGTTCTCAAGACTCTTAATGGTGTTTTTATTGGGTATATAATTGAGTGTCCTAATAGTTTATCAATAACATGAATAACTAAGTAAATGTACAGGTAATGTATCATGATCTCAAATATCACAGTATTGTGCTGTTCTACATTTTAGTTCCCATAAATAGTTGTTTGGATTTTTTTGATTGGGGTAAATCTCTTATAAAATTCCAAGACCCTACTCCATTATTCTTTTATATTTTTTATATAAGCAGGTTTTCGAGTTGTCCTAAACATAAAAAGCAGACTTTCTTTGTAGAAAAGCTCATCTTTTTACTGCCTTCTTAAAGAAAAAGAAAATCCCTTAATTGGAAGGGAAAGAAATGTCTTTAAGATTTCACAGATGAATCTCAAGACACTTTATATACCTAATGGGGTCTAAAATCAATTAATATTATAAATTCCGAGTATCCATCACACTAGGAATATACTTTTCCCTACTCATCTGAGTTGATGCATCTGGTGCCAGAAGTATTGTTGACAGTTGTGTAATTTGTGACATTTTTTGTACCTCAAACCATCAGTGTTTTTTCTCATGGAATGAGAATTTACTGTAACATTGGATGCTGGATTAAGTACACAAGGTTATTGGCTTACCCCTTACATCTGTATTTTTTCATTGAACAGATGTCACTAAAAATCATTAGGTTGGAGCCAAATACCTTGAAAAATCCTTTCCCAAGGTAAACTACTCTTTTGTATAGGTTTTAAATAGATGCAGTTTCTTAACATATTTCAGTAACAAAATTTAAATTTTTGATCTGCGTGACTTTGTATAGCTTACTTGCATACCAGATCATACACAGTCATTATGTCATAATGGGTCTTGTTATTAAAAGTAGTTGCTTCTGCAAAACCTTTAGGATAGTGGTTGCTGAGGTATGACTGGCAAAGGAGGACTTCTAGGCTCTTCATGACAGTGCATGTTATGGTGAACTCTTGGACACTACAGCTGCACCATATTGAAAATATTCTGAAATATATTCTACAAATAAGCCTGGGTTGGGGATGGATCGGGAAACTATAGAAGGATTATTCTGACTTGAAAAATATGCATCTTACTAACGAGTTTGTGATCTAACTGTCATTCTTCTGTTATTGTGGCAGTAGCAGGATTGCCTTTGTCTGTTTTCCCATCGTTTCATCCATTACACTAGTACTGTACTTTGTAAGTACAACTAGTAATAGCTTTGAGAACAAAAATATGGCCAGTGTTACAGCTTTTAATCTGTTGACTGAATTGATGATTGTGATGGATATTTTTATGCCATAATGACTAGGACATAAAAGCAATACCAAAAATCAAGCCTTGAAAATGTGTGCCAGACACCTTTCAAAAATTGGCAAAGCAGTTACCAGTTTATGCTAGTTTTACCACTAGACTAATGTATTGGTAGAACTTGTGAACCTCAGAAATAAGCTTCATACATGTTGCATTTGCCTAATATGTGAATACACTAATAAAACTTTTAATTCTCATGATGGTTGGGTTTTTTTATTAATTGCTGTCTATATTTTCTGTTGAAGGTTAGGAGTCATTCTAACCCACCCAAATAAATGGCACAAGTGTCCTGCATGTTGTGGCTGGAAAGGTATAGTTAAGATGTTAAAATCACTTCTCATATAGCTGTTGTGGAGGTTCTGGATCTGTGTGTGTTTAGTGATACAGACTTTTACTCTATATCAAGTTTATTAAAGCAGTTGCTTTTTCCTACCACAATCAAATTGCATACTACTAGCTCAGATGTTTACTTTCACCTGTGAAACAGATAAGAACAACTTGTCTGGGTGAAAGACTCCCATTGCATTTATGAACAGGTTACAACTTGAACCAGTTGGGTGACCTAATTCTGTAGTCCCCTTACCGTGGATTTCTGTATGTGTTCTTTCAGTTATGACAATATATTTACTTTGCCTTGAGCATTGTAATTAATAACCTTGACTGTACTCCCTTTTTGGTGTGCACTTCCAAGGAGTGTACAAGGACACTGCAGATGTTATCTGTGGACCTGTGGTGCTGCTTGTGTGCAAGACCATCTCAGTCTGTGTAGAAGTCACTTTTTTTTAACTTCTGTTAGTACCACTAAAATATTGTCTCCTGGAATTGCTGTTTCAGCCACAGCACAAGGGAATTTATCTGCATTTGAAACATTTGCTTGCCTATATTTCATTTAAATGCCTTTGTCAGTTCTTGAGTAACTTTAACCTACTCCTGTTTCTTAATCCAGTGCTTTTCTGACTTATCCCACTGCTGTTCTGCTCTTCAAAATATGACCAGTGCCTGCTCAAGCATCTTAATGTGGAATGTCTGTGGTACGTGAGGAATGCGACTTCATCCCTCTTCTCTTCTGCCAAAGTACTGATGTCCAAAGTACAAATGAAAAGTGAATTTTTTTTCAATGAGGCTGTTTTGTAAAATAAAATACCAAGCAGGGAGTACTCAAGTGGAAATGCTTTAAGTATGGGTAGCCAGCTGCTTATCTGTATCATGAAGCAGGAAAAACTCTGTATGTAACTGGTGCCTTAAGTTTGAACTATGATTCTGTGAACCTGGGTTCTGATCTCTCTCTTGTCACTAGCCCTGTCTGAGCTTGATTTTCATAGTATTGCCAAAGCCAAGTAATCAAAAATCAGATAGTTGATGTAAACATCCAGGTGTAAAAATTATTTTTGAGTTGCCTTTTGGCAACTTGGGTGCACTGAGCTGAGATTTCAGAACCTTTCCCCTCCAAATTAAAACCTGATTTCATTTTGACATTGTTCCAGGGCTGAGGCTTTGAGAACAGTGTCAAATACCTGGACTCTTGTGGCTTTAAATTGTGAGAATTGATAGCAGAGCATCTTCTCTGTGTATTTCCCTCTTCCTTTAGTGCATGTTTCCTATCTCGGTGGTTGTTATGGTTTAGCTAAATGAAGAAGATTTTCTTGTGGAATTTTTTCATTTCATCAGTGTGGTTTTAAAGGACTCAGGGGACACCTCCCCTCTCTTTCCCCATGTGGGGAGGGGGGCAGGGAAGGGTGAGGGTCCCCACGAGAAGTGCCACAAGAACTTAGGAAGAATAAAAATTGCTGGAGCCATCAAAACTGTCTCTCTCTGGCTTCTGGGGCTATAGTTCAGAGGCAGTCACTGGTCGCTCACCGCCTGGACCTGCCTCTCTGCCGGCCCCCCTGTGCCTCATGCCTCCTACCTTGCTGCTAGCTCCCATGTGGACCTGCCTTGCTGCCGGCTCCCCCACGCCGTCTGCCTTGCTGCTGGCCCACGTCCCGGACTTGCCCTGCATCCCAGCTCTGCCGAGTGGGGGTTCTCCCATTTGTTACCACTGCCACCAGCACCTCTGCCCGAAAGCCACTGTTTCCTGCCAATTGGAGCCCTGTCACTACCGCCTCAGAGTGCCACTCATAGTTGCCATCGCTGCCATTGCCTGCCGCCATTACCCACTGCCACTGCTCGCCCCATGCCACTAGGGCCACTAGCACCACTCCGCATACTAGTACTTCCCCCCAACCTTGCTCTGCACGTGACCTCTGTCAGGATTGTGTTGCCATCTCGGCAGCATAGACTGAAAGAGTGGGCCAACAAAAAGAGGTGGCCAACAAAGCGAATAAACCCAAAAGAGAGGAAGGAGGAGACAAATAAGCCTTCAGTACAACCTCCCCAGTCACCTAGCTGTTGCATATAAAGCTATCTTACCATCCCAGAATGCCTATAGTAACCCATAGCAGGAGTTGCATTCCCGGACAGAGTAGGCTCACAAATTGGCAGGCGTTCCCGCCAAAAGGCAACATTGTCCTTGATGTGAAGCTTGCTACCCTCCAAATAAGAGCTATCTGCTTTTATACAATTAACTGATTACGTCTGCCTAGGCAGGTGTGGCCAGCACCGCCCCACCAGAGGTTCTCAGTCCCACCCCCTTGGGTGTGCATCCCTTCAGCGCATGCATGAGTACTTTGGAATTTCCCTTCCACATGCGCAGTATGCTTCGGAGGTCTTTTCTAATTGAATCTGGGGGCGTTACTTCATCAACTCCTCTTCGGTTTCTCCTTCAAATGTCCTTGACAGACGATGAGCCAATCACAGAACACCAGTTGAAACAGTTTATACAAGAAGCTCTCTCTCCAAGGACGAAGTACCCATTTATCAGTGTTTGTTTTCTTATAACTTGGCAGGGAAAGAACAAAACTTTTACAGGTGGCTGGGTCAAACACAGATCAAAAATATCAGCATAATTAACCCCTGATACATTCCACCGCATGGTCTGCGGTTGGACCATGACACTGGTGAATGACTTGAACAGCATATTGACGAAGTGTCATCTCCAAAAATGTAAACAACATAACAATTGAGTAACAGCAAAAAATAAAGACAATAATATAATCATGTGCATCCCCAGTGAGGAGATCCAAGTGGGTTACCATGATCATTTACTTGGAGTCAACAGTACTTGAGATAATCTTTTCCCAGTTGGTAGACCTAGTTCCCAAGCTTGGATAGATGAACAGGTGTGTCCAATCATATGGGCTCAGACAACGCGATGAATCTCAGGAATTTCTGTAAAATATAAAGTCTTGTACAACAGCACTTCGCATTTCAGAAATTTTATAATTTGGATTCATCTTTTATAGTATGAAGTGATTGACTGCCAGTCACAAATTTATGGGTCTATTAGGAGCCATCACAGGCAATGTATATCTGGAGTTTGATGCAACACCAGACAACATCCTGGTCTCACCAACCTCTCCCACAGAAAGTTTGCACTCTCTGTACAGATTCCAGGCCTTATCGGGGGCAAACCGTCCTGCCACAGTTTGCCCCTGACTGCAGTCAATCCCCCTCCACCTCGTGGAGTGGTAGTACAGGTTA